CCCCAAAACCCCAAAACCCCAAAACCCCATACTTGAGATTTAGTTTGTAAATTTGAAATAAGATAATTATTAAAAGTATAAAAGATGATGAAAATATGTGTAGCTATATTTTTATCTCAATTCTTATTTAGCTTTGCTGTATCCTCTTCTATGAGAATATAATTTGAGACAAACTTTTAGCCAAAAGCAGAACAGTATCATCTAAATGAATACATTTGGTGGGTAAATAAATCTTACTTTTGGGATTAAGACAAGTCTTAAAAGCAAATATAAATGGATCTTAAAATATCGTATCCTTTTGCAAAGTCTATAAATCACTTCTAGCCCTTAATTGAATTTCAAAACACCTATCAGAAGGATTAGGCTGAATAATATGAAACCGAAGAGTGTGAATTTTGGATTTAGTTGTACGAAATAAAAACACAATAACTATAGATATACTGCAATAAATTATTTAGAAAGCCAAAGAGCATACATTAGAAATAGCAGCAGCCTTAAATCTTTGAATTTGATAAGTATTATTACCTTACAGAGGGAAATTAATAGATTGACTACCTGATAATAGGGTATATTAAGCATGATTCTAAGGGTAATGATATTATAAGTTAAATATTTCAAAACAAGCCAGGAACTTCTATTTTCATATTAAGGCAAATAATAGATCAATCAGAGAAACTATAATAATTAAGTCAAATTCAGACAAAGTTTGATATGTTCCCACTCTTTGGAATAGAATTTAAAATTACTAACTCAACCCGCTTAAAGATTCAAAGATTCAACCAACAAAAGAACTAGTCTGCTAAATAGCCCATGTCTATGTTAAAAAATGACAGTGTGGATCTCGTTAATTAGCCTGCTGATTTAATATTTACTGAACGCAAGCCCGATCTCAAGTTCATTAGAAACTATTAGTATAACTTCATTAATTTTCTGCAGACATAGAATCACACATTTCCTTCTTTCGTGGATTTTTTACAAAATCATCCCAACTTTAGATTGAATATTATTCAAGCCAAGCCTTACAATAGTACTTTACTTAGAAAAATAACTAAAGCATAGGTTAGAGATAAGGAGTTTATCTTTATTAATTACTAATATGTGGACTTAGCTCAATGTAATTTGTATTGCTTAGCTAATGAATATATGAAAGTTGAAATAAAGACAAGATAGCTTAGCAGAGCGATTAGTCTGGATAGGTTGTAATCGATTTTCAAAGAGAAAATATGGTTTATATAACAAGACATTTTCAGCAAGGCTCTGAATCTGAGAGTATTTGAAGATTCAGAATAAATACCATTGATATAGCTGCGGTAAACAAGCAAGGGTTCTGTTCTATATATTTTAGATATTGGCAATATAACTGAATGCTTGAAAGTAGTGGAGTAATTACATAAATTGAATCAAGATTACTCAGTCAGTATTATATTTACTAGTTTGAAGTTGAACCAAGAAGATAGAGTGAGGATTTAATTTATTTATGAAAATTTACTGACGCTTCATGCTAATTAATTTTCTCGATTCCGTTCATTAATTAGTATCCTAAAGAGAATTGAATTCGATTAAACTCTTTATTCTGGACATAACATTTTTAGTTAAAATAATAATAGTTAAACTGATGATGCTTTTAACTATTGCTATGCCAAGAGGATGTGCTTGCTACCACAGCTTTTTATAAATTAGTTTGCAATGAGTCCCCATAGAGATTATTCGCACCTAGAAATTGAGAAATATCTAAAAGCTTCAAATATATCTATTTCAATTGAAAGTAAACTTAAAACTAATCAAGAATTTATCTAGTATTATTATGAAAATAATACCTCTACTATATTTAAAAATCACAGATCTAACTTGAGGGATTAGGGGGAAATTGTCTTTTCTTAAAAATTTCCAAATAGAAATCAAAGCTTAGTTTACCATGACGTTATTATTCAATGTTATAAATGTTCTAAATAGTTACTAAACTAGCTAGAAGGTATTAAATCACTTTTGATTGGGGTTAAAATCTATATAACTACTCTTGACTCAATAGATTAGTAATATTTAGACCCTAAACAATACTTGGGATTATTAAATGGAAAATTTGACTCATTAATGATTATTAACGGGCAAGTATACTATCAGTTAAATAAGTACTTAGGCAATTAGCTAGCTCTTTAGTTTTTGCTTTAAGAGCATCTTGAAATGATGGATTATTTGTTAGAATAAGGTACTTAAAACAGATAAGTAATAACTGGTCAAATAATGAAGATAGTTTATGAAAATAATATGAATGTTAAACAGTTGCCAATAAACAGAAGTGACTTAGAGATGATAAACAAGTATTCTGATTTTAAATTTGGCTCTAAAAGAGATTAGAAATAGTAATAAAAGTATTAATAACAAAATTAGATTTATGCTAAGTTAAACATACTCACTAAGACTTCAGTAAGATTCTTAAGTTTTTACTTAAGATATTTTTCTCACAGTGCAAATATTTAACTGTATATGATATACAATGACTAGCAAGTGAGCATACCTTATCATTATTATATTCTAAGTGGTGCACCATTAGTATATTACCGTAATTTAAACATCATATTTAAATAAGTAAATCTTGAGCTTGATACTCCTAGATCAGTTATCTATGAACCCTCAAGCATTCCTAATTATTATAATCCAATTGGTGAAAAATAAGTCTAAGATACTGCTCTATTTGGACTTAATGGCATGATGTTAGATCTAGATGTTTAAAGATTTATACTTTAAAACTAAAATATCACACTTAAATTCAAGATGATTGGATAAATTATCGAGGGAGGGCTTAGCATTTCAGCAGGCACTAATAATTTCTTGCCTTTTGAGTACTATCAGAAAGTATTCTAGATTGACGGATTTAGTTAGCATGAAATAGTAAAGAGACATTCGTATAACTTTGGACCATATTTCTAAATTTTCACCAAAGATTTCTAAAGCTTGAATGTTATTAATGCTGAAATCATCAAAGGTACCTAGTAATTGAGCACTTATGACTACTATGACAAACTCAAGCTAGTTCAAGTATAATAAAGCAAATTCAAGCAAGCAGATAATCAAGAAAAGTCTAATTAAGACATTATCAGAGTTTTCTTTTCACTTTCAGGTCCTATTTATGAGCATCTTGCACTTCTAAATATCATATCAATCCTAGAAAATACAAAATCACTGTGCTTTTTCTACTTCATTGATTAAGTTACACTTTCTCCTGATTTTAAGAAATAGCTAGCTTCTCTATAATAAACACTAAATTTTGGCTATGAATTTATTTATTATCAATGGCCGTAAGCACTATACAAGGACTTTTAATCAAAGAGATAAATCTATGGATCTATGATACTATTCTTGGATTTGATATTCACAGATCCTGGCATTGAAAGGATCATTTATATGGATGCAGATTAAATAGTGAAAACAGATTTGAAAATTCTCTGGGAAACTGATCTTGATTAAAAACCATATGCTCTTGTGCCACATTGTAATGCAGAAAAATCCTTCGAAAAAAGTCCATTTTGGTTTGAAACTCTAAGTAAAAATGATAAAGATTATTATTTCTCTGGGGTGTTTGTGGCTAATTTGACTAATTTTAGAGTAAATGGCTACGGCAACATACTTAGAAAAAATTATCAATATTTAGAGTTTGAACTATAAATGGCTGATAATTTACAGCTCTTAGATTAGGATTTAATAAACTATAGCCAATTTATTGTACCAATTAAAAGCCTTGGATAAGAATGGCTTTGGTGTGAAGCTTGGTGTAACAAAGATTAATAAGATGAAGCATTAATAGTAGATTTATGTGGAGATCCCTTCAAATATATTGGAGAAAATAAGATTGATAAATTTAAAAGACTATAGCCATTGGAATTCGATAAATATAGCAAGATTTTAAATTAAAGCCAATGAGATTTTATTTATTAATTCATCCAAATATAAAAATTCTATGGACGAGGGGTTTTGGGGTTTTGGGGTTTTGGGG